GTACCCACCAAATTCTAGAGTATGTGGGCTCAGGAAAATCCCTTCGTACCATTACATAAGTCTCTCCCATTTTAACCTCTTCTCTATCACAGCAAACATTCCTTCCGCACTGCTCAGACTTCTCAGAAAATGTCTAAACCACATGTTGTTTTATGCCTGATAACATGTACTTTATTTGCATAAACATTTCCTAGTAAAATTATTATGAAGAGTGGCCCCTGTTGTCAGAGAAACCAAGAAAATATATCTAGTGTTTCATTTTTTCAAACTGTAGTGGTGTTCTGTGCTTTTACTCCTGTGGTTACAGGACCACATCCTTCTGCAACATGGAGCTTCTTATCTTCTCCTTCTCCAGGATTTCTTATTGGCCTAGAAGTGTTCCCCTGAATTCACTGACATAAATGCAAATACTTCTAAACTAAATTGATGACATTTACCTTCCCTTTGAAACTGGTTTGCCTTCTGATCTAACAGCCCAACATAGGTCACTAGTGTTACAATACTAAATTCTGATACAAGCAACCTTCAATTCAAATCCATATGCTATTACAAACTTGAAGTGTGAATGTGTGGAAAATGTTAAAATCCTCTCTACATTAGTTTCTCATCTGTACAATGAGTCTAATAAGCATATTAGTTGGGGCGCCTGCATGGCTAAGTTGATTAAGCGTCAGACTCTTGATTTCAGCTCAGGTCATGATCTCAGGGTCATAGAATTGAGCCCCACATTGGTCTCTGCACTGGGTGTGGAGCCTGGCTGGGCCTCTCTCCTCACTCCTCTCTGTCTCTCCCCAGCTCGCTTGCATGCTCTCTCTCTCTCAAAAAAAAAGTGTATTAGCTCCATACAAATGTTTTGAGGGTTACATGATGGTTATGTTACATGGTTACATGAGGGTTATGATGCCTATAGAGCTCATAACATATTGCCTGGGTAATAGCTAGTCCTCAATGAGAGCGAACAATTTTGATGATGGGGAGGGAGGAGGAAGAAGAGGAGACTGGGCGAAGGAGTGGGAGGAGGAGGAGGATAATGTTAATTGTGGTGATAATGTCCTAATTTTAATGTGACTAGAGAAATGATAGTCTGTTCCATATTGAACACATTCTCTCTCCTGGTCACCTCTATGCCATGAAAAATGACAACACTTAAGGAAAAGCAGAGAGCAATAAAAGAAGTCACCTTCTCCAATCTGAAGCAGATATCACAGTCTTATTAAAAATTTCCCACAGTAAGGAGGATGATGCTATGATGGCAGATTTTCTAAAAGTGAATGTCGGCATCCTCAACCAAGTCAGACCTTTCAGTCTACTCTAGAGCATCTTCAACATTTCCAGTCCTTGTCTTTGACATAGTGTTTCTATTTTCATGTCTACATGTTGGTGCTGTACTCCACTGTGCTCTAAGAACAAAGCATATGTATAAAAATGATGGCTGGTATCCCAACTTTGAACATTGGTTTCAAGGTGCAGAGATCCAATTTCAAATTAATTGTCACGCACAATAACAGAGGTCCCAAGGCTTATGTCTCCATCTAAACTTTGTCACTCACTTCCTGTGTGACCTTGAACATATTCCTTAACTTTGGGGGATCTCAGCATTTTTAAATAAGTTGGATGTAAATGTAGAGCCTGCTTTTAGTCAATTAACTTGAACAGCGGAAACCTGAGAAAGGTAGAAGGGATCACAGTAAACCTCTGTACAAATACAAACAGGCCCTTTGAGTGACTCACCTCAAAATTTCCAATGGATTATTTATACCTGGACACAAGTATCAAAAAAGAAAAATTCCATAGTTCCCATTACCTTCTCACCTTCCCCCTCTAACACCCACTGCCTCAAAGCAGCCAGTCTCTGCTCACTGTCCAGCCAGCTGCTCCCTTGCTGTGTATTCAATAAACTTCTATCTCTTTTGTTCTGCCTGGGGTGAATTCTTTCACCGCCTGCACTGCTGGCTTCCACCCATCTGGTCACCCCACATTTGCTGCCCCCCCCCCATCCAAGTGAGAGATCTCACAGTAATTTGGATTGTAAATGCTTCTTTCAATGTGTACACTTAAAAGACTGGGGGCCCCTTGGTGGCTCAGTCGGTTGAACTTCCGACTTCGGCTCAGGTCATGATCTCACGGTTCTGTTAGTGGGTTGGGGCCCTGCATCAGGCTCTGTGCTGACAGCTAGCTCAGGGCCTGGAGCCTGTTTCAGATTCTGTATCTCCCTCTCTCTCTGACCCTCCCTTGCTCACACTGTCTCTCTCTCTCAGAAATAAATAAAACATTTAAAAAAATTTGAAAGATTGGTTGTGGGTCCTACTTTAAGGTAGCTTTAACTATTGTTGGTCTTCTTACTAAAAAATTGAGAGTCGTGCCGTGTTCTTGAATTAGCTCCTAAGACCTTAATATTTAAAAAGACCCACCCAAAAGAACTATAGCTATACTTGTGAACACAGCATAATGCAAAAGCTTGTCAAATCCCTAAGTTGTACACCTGAAACTAAGGTAACATTGTGTGTCAACTCTACTCAAATAAAATGTAAATAAAAGTAAATTAATTTTAAAAAATCAAAAAGAACTTTTCATCCATGTGAAGGAAGTAACCTGCTTAAAATCAACTTTAGTGTAGGCAACTGATGCATCAATAGAACAATAGATCAATAAATTGAGGCTTTTCTTCCCTTTCTTATGAAAAAAAACTTATAAGATGATGTAGGCATCCTCTGAACGCCATCCTACAAACTGGTTTGAAGATCATATGTAGAATCAGCATAATTGGAAAGAGGAAACATAAAGGAAGGAAAAGTAAAAGAATGGCAGGGATTAAAAAAGAAAAACATGAAAACAAAATAATCTTTTTCTTGCCACTCAAAGTGTGGTCCTTGGGCCAGTAATATTGGCATCATCTGAGAGCTGGTTTGAACTGTGGAATCTCAGGTGTACCACTGACCTATTGTATGAATAGTGTTGGTGCACAGATCCTTTCCATCTGCCAGTGTGCCCATCTTTTAGCTGCTGCAAGTGCTAGCTGATAACAACTCACAGCCGGCCCTTCATCTAGAGTGTTATCCTTGGCTGAATGGGAGCTGCCTCACTTCGAAAGCTACACGGTACCCACCCAAGAAACTTCAGGTAATAATTGACTGGCACTAAAAGAGGAAAGGCTAGTTCCTCATCTTAGGGTGAGGTTATTTGTTGCAATATTGTTTCAAAGCTTCCCCTGGGTTCAGACTAAAGCTAAGTGTTTGACCAGAGACCACATTCATGATTAGCTTTTATGCTCTGCTCTATCAGGCATTGTTCACTTCTTTTCTCCTGAAAATACTCCTCTAGTGAGTTACTTGAATGAGAATCCTTATCTCAGGCTCTACTTTTAAGAAATTCAACCTCAGTTGCTTTGTATCAGAAATAGATCTGACTGAGAAGCAGAGGCTAAGGATAGACGTTTGTAGTTGGATCTAACATGCCAGCTGGATCACGCATGGTAGGTGATGGAATGACAGTCTTTGGGAGACTACCTACTAAGACTTCCCTGTGAGGAGAATGGGATGGGATGCACGTGCACGGAATGAACTTACTGGTACAATTTCTCAGGCATTGGAGAGATATGGGGAAATAGCAACTGCAAAGACTGTGAAATTGAGTGGCTGTTGCTAAGTAGCATTGATTTAGTGAAGAAAGAAAATGACAGGTTCAGACCTCTTAATAATTCAAAGTAAAGCGTGAGTGTCAGAGGCCTCCATGGTAGCATTCGAAAAGATTCTCATCACCTGAAGCCAGAAGGTAGAAACAGCTGAAGATCAGACAGAGAACTGAAGTGTAATATTGGCAGAGCTTTAGAGAATTCTAGGCCTAGGCAAATTTCCTATGACAGTACAGCACCCAGAGAGGGAAAGAGTGGAACTCTGAGATTTTACATGTAGTAGATGAACTTGTGAACTTTGTATCCTTAATTTCTCCGAGCCCACCAGGCCAGCAGAAGTGGCCTACTTCTTTTGGAAGAGAGATCACCAACCTTGTTTAAGACTCTGCAGAGGCCTCAAATGAGGTAGGTGCCAAATAAGAGAACATATAACCTCCTTAGTATCTGCTCTCTCCTCACCACCTGGATTTTAAATATGATTAGGGCCTTAAATATGATCAAACCTCAGCATAGCCTCCCTGGAGAAGTGCTGGATGTATTAGGGACTAGGAGGGATTATACATCAAAGTTGCTACAGGACATGGGTAACATGTACTGGCAGGAACCAGGAAAATATGTCTGGAAGTGAATCCTGAAGGTGCCAGATCAAGATTGTGGCATATAAAGCTAGATAAAGGAGGATTTACCATATGAGGGAACTCTCTAGTGAAACAGGATTTATTTAACTCCCTGGCAAGAAGCCTAAGTGATGGTTCTAAAGGCTTGGAAAAAATGACAGCTGGCATTAAATTAGAGACGTCATGGAAAAATGTGAGAAAGAACTCAAAAGGTTTATAGGGCTAAGCATGCTAGAATGGATCTATTATATACAACTGGAAAACCTACCAGCTGGTCATTTCCCTTAAGAGAGCCTAGAGAGCACTCCATTTATTAAAGCAATAAGGAATGAACTAGGAAGGAACACACCAGCACCACTGCAATGCTCAGTAATGCCTGTTTTCTGTGGGCTGAATTAGTAGCTGTTACAAAACTGAGTTCCCGAGAAGCAAAGGGGATAATGGGATCTTGGAATAGCATGGTTAGCAAAGTCTGAATGGCAGCCAAGAGGGGGTCTGACTTAAAACGGTCTATAGAGATGCCTTAAAATATATGGTCTTACTGGAGGCAAAATCAATAAGCAGGCAACTGCCTGAGGTACTGTCAAATCTATACCTATATCTATATCTATCAGAAAAATTAGGAATAGATGAGAAGGCAGAGATAACACTCCCTAGTGGAAAGTCATGAACTTTTGCCCAGTTTCCAGACTGGAGTCAACTCTCATTGACTAAAGAAGCATCCAGGTCCAGATGATGAAGGTCTCTATGACACCACAGTAATCGTATACACAAATTTGCATGTCATCTTTGCACAGAGGTCATGCTAATCTTCTCTGTATCTTTCCAATTTTGTATATGTGCTGCTGAAGCAAACACCAGCAATTACATACAACAGTGATTCTTCCATCCTTCCCAAGTAGGACCTGTAGCCTTTTACTTGGGTAATGGCACACTTGAAAAGGGGGAATTCCCAGATTTTTCAAGGCTTGTTAGATACAGCATCCAAGTTCAATCTTATATCAGGAGATCCAAGTGCTATCTTGCTTTCCTTCACCTTATAGTAGGGGTGTAAGGAGTTCAGTTAATAAAGGTAATAAATGGAGCTTTGACCCAGGTCTATCTCACAGGAGGGGTCACTGTTTCTGTGGACCCACTTGGGTGTCACTTCCCTGGTCCCCACATGGATAAATCAAGTGCATATATTTTGCAGTTGACAGAAACTTCATATGGGTTCCTTGACTTATAGATTAGGAATACTTGTAATAAAGTGAAGTCGTAGCCCTTGAAACTATCCCCACACACCCCATAAATTAGAGTAAACAAAAACATCACAGCACAGCACAATAACAAGATCAGTGCTATACTCACAGACTTGAAACACGTAGAGGTGACGGCTCCCACCATATTCCCATTTCATCCACCAAAACAGCCCCTGCAAAAATTGGTTGGATCCGTTGTACCAAATGTGGTATCTTTAATAGAGAAGAGTAACACAGCCTCAGGTACATAGTATGTGACTATTGTACTAGCAAACCATAACCCACAAAAAAAGAAAATGAGAGCAGTTTACATCCACGTGGGATACACATTCACATCCCAAGGTTATGCTAGTTTTCATGATCTCTGGGATACAATAGGTTGAAGGGACCTGGATTGTGTAGGAAAGGAAAACTGTTTTCCTTCTACCTATCTGAGGTTCACTGGCCGGGGCTCTGTAAATTAGCCTGGTAAAAGACAGATTAACAAGAGAAAAACAAACATAACTTTATTAACTTGTGCACTGCACATGTACTTATGAGCACTCAGATGAGTAACTCAAAGGGGTGGTTAGAACGTGGGTTTATATAACATCTTAACAAAAGAGCAATATATTTTTAGAGATGTACAAGACAAAGGTAAAAGACTTCGAGTTCCAGGGGCAGCATTCTGTGGGAAGGCAAAAAATGGGGAAACTAAAGGTAGATAAGGGCTAGTTGCAAGGTTTGTTATATAGATTCCTTTGGTTTCACCTCTGGGCTAATAAGGACTTGGTTATCCCTGGAGGTTAACTTCTGTCCTTCTTGGTAGAGAAGGAAAGGGGATCACCTTTGTAAACGTATCTTGCCTCTGTGCAAATAAGAGATCCTCTTATATTTACTTATTTTCAACTGCCTTCAGCTCAAAATTAGCCTATGCCAAAGTGGTATATTTTGAAGTGGCATATTTTGAGGTGGCATATTTTGCTAACCTTCAACTGTCTGGATATTTTGGAGGGAATTTATATCAGATTAATTGAAGCTGATGATCAAGAAGTGACAAATACCATGGATGCCTTAGAAATGCACATCCAGTCCAGAGAAGGGGGAATATGTCATGTTTCCTACCACAAAGAATGGAACCCAACCTTTGATAGGTTTCTTTGGGTTATGCAGGCAGTGTATTCTGCCTTAGAAATATAGAAACTATCAATTCACCATGTTGATTTAAAGGCTATTGTTAGCTTCCATTAAGATCCAGAAAAAGAAAGTTCTCTGTAGTACTTCAGGATTTGGTTCTGAAATGCTGACATTTTATTTCTATGGCTCAGCAGACTCCATAATACTAGAAAGATCATGGTAGAGAAAAACATTGTGTAGGACTTGGCAAGGCCCAACAGGATGGGCACAGCAGAAACTCCTATAATTTGGAAGAAAGTCAATGTCATGTCACATGTAGCAAAAAAACTATACTCCATTCAAAAAACAGGTCTTGGGACCATACTAGGTCCTTTTGGAAACTGCACATCTGCCCTTGGGAATTAAGTGACTGTATGGTCAGAATTACTCATCATAAATTGGATACTTTCAGATCCACCAAATAATAACATTGGGCAGTTCTAGCAGCAATCACTAAGCAGATGTGGTAAACCCCAAATCAGGCTCAAGATGTTCCAGAAGGCATAAGTAAGGTAATGAAGAGCTCTCAGAATCCACGTTTCTCTTGTGCCTTTGTCTCGGCTCACACTCTGGTCGCACAGGCATTTTCTATATCTAACTGATGGGAGAGGAAATATACAAGCCTGATTCACAGATGGGTCAGTTTAGTCAGTGAGTGCAAACAAAAAATAAAGTCACCTTTCGGGGAAAGCCCTGAAAAAATGTCATGGGGAAAGCCTCCCATTTGGCAGAGCTTCAGACACTACAAGGGGTGACGCACTTGAAATGTAGAGAGAGTAGACAAAAAAGAAAGCATATATATAGATTCACAAGAAGGCAAAAATTGCTTGGTTGGTCAATGGCTTGGAAAGAACTAGATCAAAGGACTGGGAACAAGGAGATCTGGGGACGTGTCAGGTAGATGGATCTTTGAGGGTGAGCACAAAGTATGAGGATCTTTGTATAACACATTAATGCCAAGCAGAGTGTGTCCACCTCAGAAGAGACATTAAACTCTTTAGGGACAAGATGACTCAGTGAGTAGATATCTTCTAACCTTTGTCCTTGACCACCACGGTGCTTGCATGATGAACTCATAAAAAGAGTGGCCATAGTGGCAGAGATAGACTATTTGTGAGCCAGATAGCATGACTTTCCTCACTAATACTAATCTAATTCCTAGCCTTTTCAATATTCCACTTACTAGCAAAAGAGAATAAAACTGAGACCTCAGAAGAGTGCCACCCCTCATAAAAACCAAGCAGCCACTTGTAGCAAGTTAAACTTCTTCCCCACCCTGACCCCCAAGTAATGGTAGCTACTCATCACTGACCAGAATCAACACATATTCCACATGCTCTTAGCTAGTACCACTATCCAAGAGCTGATGAGTGTCTGATCTACCAACACATCTCAGACAAACACATTTTACCTAAGAACATGTAGCAGCAAACACTATGGTTATGTTCCCCCAAAATATGACCAAATCTTGAAGAAGCTGTGCTTAGAAGGCATGAACTTAATATAGGTAGCACATGATGAGAAGTACAATGAATTGATAGTAAAGAATGCTGTGGTCCCCCATGCAGATGTCTTCTATTACACAGTAAACATGTGAATGTTGGTTTATAACACCTCATAGCTGCTCCCATCTCCAGAGAATTGTCTTTGTACCAACAGGAGTGTCCAAACATTAGTGGGACTACTGATGTGGATAGGACATCCCTAAATTGTACCAACAGCACAAACATTTGGCAGACATACATAATTCCTAAAAATATTTGCAAAGTTATGTGTAAAGGTGATTACTGGCAAAGATTAATTTATCAGAATGATAAGGATATATCACCAAGTACTCACAACTTCAGGGAAATGACAGATCTCAGAGATTGTACCTATTTTCCCTCTTTTACAAATGCTGGCACACAACTAAGTGGCTACACATCTTCCATTTGTCCTTTAGTGAGTGGCAGCATTTTAATCTTCTTTTGTTTGTTGAGTGATACCTTTTTGCCACCTATTATTCCATTTCCAATAATGACAACTTATTTTGAAAAAGAAAAAACAAACAAAAACCCCAAAAGCAAGTATCAATGGTTGAGTGGAAACTACGTTTTCCAGGGGAAAACATGCTTCTGAGAGTTATAGTATCTCATGTCAGAGGGCTCATCAGAGTACAAGAGCTGGGTAGAGTGTTGAATGCCAACCATTAATAGCTTGTATGTCAAGTAGAATCTTCCAGTGGAAGACTTTGAGATGACAGAATATTCTGATTACGGATGACTAGCAGACATGAAAAAGAAACCAATAATACTTATAAAAGATGGTTAGTTTCAGCAGCACACACATTAAGGAGAAGCTCACACAGTAAGAGAAATAGGAATTTAATATAATTAATACACCTATTTCCTTCTTAGGAGAATTCTTTTAGAAGACGTTTAGGAAACTGTAGTGTTCTTCCTGAATCATTACTGCAGCAGTTTATAAATATTCTATTGGTCCAATTTGGGCACATCCTAATGTCCATCTGTTCCCTGGATAAATGATGTAGGCCTCAGTTTGTACTAACTGCAAAATCACTGCACAGGAAAATGGTCTGAATGATTAGAGAGAGACTGGAGTCAGCACCTGTGGCTTTGGTTTACCTGGAGTAGGCCGGTGACAGGCACAAAAAGAAAAAAAAAAAAAAGGAAAAAGAAAATAAGCTTTATCTGCAGTCAAGGGGAACAATTAGGGTAGGCCTAGCGAGAAACCACAGTAAACATGTTTCTTCCTGCAGGCGCCTGAGCCCCAGAATTCTCATCTCTCTCTCTCTGTCTTTCTCCCCACCACCCTCTTCTTTTTCTCCAAGACACACACACACACACACACACACACTTATCTGATGTTTTTCATTTAAAAGACATGCATCAATGTCTAAGTAGAATTACTTAATGCTTTAGTCTGGCTTTGACTTGCACCTGTGAATCAGTCCTATGCTAATCAACCTAATCCATGGTAATGACCTCAAGTTTCTAACAGCTGAACTCCCTTTGCTAAATCTTCTGCATTTTTTTAAATAACCTAAGACCCATATTTGGTTGTTTGGCAAAATAAAATAGCCCTTCTAAGGGGAGGGGGAGACAGTTCTAAGGAATTTTGTAGTGCAGTCAGATTGCTGCGTCATTTTGGTTAGAAAAGTGGCAAAGCAGAGAGGGAAGACTTCAGAGAAACTGGTAGTGAAGGACTTAGCCAATTTTGGAGGTCTGGTATGGCGTACAGAGAGAAAACAGGAGGCTGATATTTAATAAACACATTCTGTAATGTTTACCTTGTGTAGGGTTTAGTTTTTATACTGTCTATAAGAGATAACAAGAGGTTAAGTAGCTTGTCCCAAACTCGTAGCTAGTATGTGTTACAGCCCTGGTTCAGTTCCAGAATGGTCCTTCTACACTACAATGCTGCATAAGGAGAAGTCTCACAGGGAGGGAATGTGGTGTATCA